TTCCAAATGTACTACACAAATGTATCGCCTAATTATGATAACCTTCAACTACACATCCCATTATGCAAAGTTATCAAAAGGACTAATTGTTTTTAATATAAGAATTTCATGTATTTTATGGCTTATTTCCAGTTCTGCCTGAGATTAGTTTATTTTTAAAAGTAAACTGTACATTAGAAATCGTTGAAGTTATATCATCATAATATTTTTTGAAAAAGATTTCACTTGATTTTCTAGAATGCACATTTAGAGAAGGTATGAAATGTATGCACATTTACAGGTATAATTAGGCTGATTCCCAAAACAAATGCAATATGGAAAGACAATAAATAATCTCTGGAAGGATTTAATCGATATTCTATTTTGATGAACACTGGCGTTGAAGTGAAGGGTACTAAGTTCGATTCCCGATATGAACATCAACGCATTAAGGTACAGGCAGAAGCAGCTGATAAATTTCCATGAAGGACGAAACTAGTTTATTGAGTTTTACTGTTAACCACAATTTAACTATTATTTAGAAGAAAAAACAGTGTCTAAATGACATCAATGAACCAGTCTTCTGAAGATGTATATCTTCTATTAGAAATTGTCAAGTTTTAGTCCTGAATATCAACAGTAGGCTAATCCAAGTCAGTACTAATTAGGATAACTGCTTAAATGGTTTTATATGGATTTTGTGTAGAAATTAAACGGTAATTTCTTCCATAAATTGAGTTCATTGTAGTGAATGATTAAATGTCTGCTTATTGTGTATTTCATCACTGTCTGCTTTGGTGGACAAATGTATCAGTGTACAGGAAATCACATGGACGTACATACTGGAGTAGCATATATATGTATATATATTACACACTTGAAATCATGAATCGACCAAAGTTAGACCACTATTAGAAACCTGGAAGCACTGAACGGCCGTCTCGTCCTGGTATGGGACTCATCAGCAGTTCACATCCACGACTCCTGCACCCTGTAGGGTTCGAACTCCGAGCCTTCGGTGTTGTGCGTGAACGCCTAACCTCTGAACCACTGAGCCGGTAAATAATGGTTTTAATGTCTAACTTCGATCAATTCATGGAGTTGCGCAACTTCATACACTGTCTTCGGTAGTTACTGTCTACACCCGAACAGGTTGAACTTCACTGGTCACGACTTCCCACTAGATTCCTCACGGAGCTAGTCACTAGTCAGCACACGTAATTGTATTGAGGGGTTGTGAAGATTGTTAACTTACACATCTGAAACTATAAAATCGATCAAAGTTACATGAAACAGTTTAAATTTAGCCTCGAAAAAAAATATTACGTTTATAAGATGCAATAAATTTTAAAATATCAAATAAAAATATTATTATCATGTGAATTTCATATTATAAACAATTTATTTGATTTTATACTAATTGAAAATTTTATTGAGTTATGCATTTTAACAAAAAAAAACGAAGGCATTTTTATCGAATTCATTCATTCTATGATGGAGTTTGTATGACAAAATTATTAACATACATGACTGAATTTTGATCAGTCATAGTTGATATACGTAAGCCTTCGGGTAGATGATTTGTTAAAGTAAGAGGATACTAGGTTTAAAAGACACTTTAAACATAATCAAACTGAAATGTAGTTCGAAATGTGACAAAAACAAATTGTTGGGGATGTTAGATCCCCAGAACTCACTTGATAAAAGTCCTAATTTTGGTGTTTATGTTTTCGAGCATGAGCTAATCAGTTGACCTTAAGATTACATTTCCCATCTGAAAAATCCTTGACTGTCATTGGTTAATGTATTTTGTGGCTCTCCCAAGGATGTATAAATAAACTGGATTGTGTGCCTGAAAAAAGGATCTCATATTTTCTAGTTGCATGTAGAATACACTTTCTACGCCATATCAAGACTTCGTCATCTACTTAGTGGGGGGTTAAGACGCCCGGGTTAGTGTAGCCTGATATGTTCGTCACTAGGTACGCTTGAAGTTATTACAAGTTCACCTTAGTCGATAAACGCGAACGAGACAATGAACCAGCGTCCAGATAGGCTACCTTGAATCCCAAGCTGAAGACAGAAGGCTTTGTAAGCGTAGAAAGTATTTTCTACAGCACCCAGCAATCACAATACAATCAAGCACACAACTCTCGTTTATTTATACATCATAGAAACGACTTTGGGACAGTCACAAAAAGAGCACACTAAAATACACAGCAACCAATCACAGCCAAGGACTTTCCTGTTGGGAAATGAAATCTCAAGGTCAACTGATCAGCCCATGTCCGGAAACGTGAAATCCAAAATAAGGCATTTTTCAAGCGAGTTCTGGGAATCTAACATCCCCAACAAGCCTATCGTTTGTCTTCGCTCCCGTTTACCGACTAAAGTGAACTCAAGCATATCAATAGACTAGCACAACAGAAATGCACTTGATTCCACCGCTAAACCAAAATTTATGCATAGATATTGAGTCAGTGTGTTCATGTTATATGTGACGTCAACATAGACTAATAAAAATTCGTCCTTAAATAATAATAACGAGATAATGCAGTTATCCTTTCAGACAAACAACATACTTGTAGGTATTCATACTCAGAAACTTAGTGGATAACGCATCGGTGTTAAATAACTGATTGGAATTTCAGTCTGAACATCTTAGGATACACTTTAGGATATAGTCAATCCGAAATAAGACAAAATCTCCTATATTTGATTATTTTGTTAGCCAGAATTTAGAGTCTATCAGTTTAGATAACTTTTGCACTAAAACAACAATTCTATTCAATTATCAATGCCTAACTCTTCCTTTAAATAAAAGTGTAGCAAATGCGTATATTTTTGAATCGGATAAGTAGCTGTTTGAGCGTACATCGTAAATAACAGGTAGATAACCTACTGTGAGATAGAACAAACCAGATTTCAGCCGAGGAATAAATTAGGAAAAAGCTCTGGAGATGCATAGGACATACACTGAAGAAAGCACCCAACTGAGTCACGAAACAAGCCGTCACTTGGAATTCTCAAAGCTAAAGGAAAATATGAAGATAAAAAGAAAATATTTCTCCGAGATTCGGAATCAGACATGAAGAGAATGAACAGTGATTGAGTAGAACTAGACAAGAAGGCCTAGGACAGAGTAGGTTGGAGAATGCTGGTCAGCGGCCTATGCTCCATAGGAGGTAACAGGCGTAAGTAAGTAAGTAAGTAAGCAGTTAATAACTCTGTGCCATCCACGACTGAATAACAGTGCAAATGCCACCTGTGAAGTTCACACGATATCTAATCAATATATTTTTTATACAGTAATCAGTCAGTCAGTCAGATGCAAAGTACGTAAGTACATCAGTTTATGTCGCCATACCACATCAGCACAGAGATATAATTGTCAATTCAAATCCAATAGTAGAAGAGGTAGTAAAGGTATTAGAAGTAATCGGAGAGGTTAGAATTAGAAGATATTATTCAAGAAGTATGATTCAGTGAGAAAAGTTTAGAAAGTCAAAACTAGAGTTGTTGAAGAATCCAGAAGATTAGGATTTGAGAGAACACAAAGAATAAATGCACCTGCGCCATTGGAAGCAGTTTTGAGCCATGTCATTCAGGGTATCTAACCATCGATTATTATCATCTCGCGGACCCCAACCAGGTAGTCGACAACTACCGACATGGCTCAGTCCACTTGTCAATGACTTCATGGATTTATGTCATGTTTCGGTTTGGCCGCCCCTAACTTTCTTCCAACCTACTCCTACAATACAAAACAAAGCTCGTCGAGGCAGTCGGTGGTTGGGCATACGCAACACATGTCCCAACCACCTCAACTGATGAAGTTTCACCACTTCATCTATTGATCTACCATTCTTACCTAGAACCCGTTGCTCACTCGGGTGTCCCACGATACAAGAGCAATGCTTCGAAGACACCTATGATCGGAAACCAGTAACCTACGAATATCTTCTACTCTCACTGGCCATGTTTCACAGCCATAAAGTAAGACGGAGCGAACTACTGCGCAGTACACTAGTCCTTTAGTCAGCAAACGGATATCTAGCCTACGCCATAAGTGACACAGGTTTTAATACAGTAATAGATAAGAATAAAAAGAACTAATCGACTGAAATTTAACTAAGACTATGTTGACTCAATAGTCAAAAGGATAGATGCTTTCTGCCTAGCCTAAATGTCCTATATCCCAACCTCTACTAAGGTTATGTATGCCCAATTCACTTGAAAAGTCCCATACTATTCAGTTCTTCCCAGTTTTCATTGGTTGTTCAATTCATGATGTAACAGTCAACAACCTTCACAAATCACTTGTTTTCACATTAACTCATCCAATTTGCATACATATAAACATGCAACTCAATTGTGATTCATCAATATACATAATGAGTAATCCATTTTGAGTGTGTAATAGGTGTTAAACTGTAGAATGTGTATATCAATATATATAAAAGAGAATTCCATAATGTCTTCTATGTTTGCATCCAAATCGACATATTATGTCTATTCTGTTTTTCAAATCTGTAATCCACACTTATTGACATTCTCAACAAACAAATAACATTCTCTCTCTCTCTATCTCTCATGTTCTTTGTATGTGTATATATTTACAACCCTAACCTGTCCAGTTTTAACTGATATAATAGATAGACAGGTTTTATGGCATAAGGTGTACATATTTCTCTCTCCTTCTCTCAGTATTTATTTTCTACTAACTAGATGATTCAATCGAAAATAGTGTAGATTCATGAGAATACTGCCTGGCTAAATGTATATTCTATAAAATAATCTCGAGTAGTCAGTCAAATGTGGTTACATAACACACATACAAACAAATGTATTTGATTGGTACTTTAGTGAAATCAAATATGATGTATGTAGAGATATAATACACTGTTATGATAAATTAACGAATTGTCGATACAACTGTTTAAATCAACTGAAAAAACTCTTTATTTTCCATGATAAATGATTTAGAATTATTTCACCAAATGATGATTTCTAGTTTATTCCAATTCATGATTTAAACACTGATCATCATCATGATTGATTCATTAAACCTGTTAATAATCATTAAACTGATTTTCATTTCAATTCCATTTCAATTAACGTTGAGTCAATTGAATTATTGTTTAAAACCGGTTGGATGTTATCATGATGAATGTTGTTTTAATATTATTCCTAAAACTGGACCAATATGTGATCCAATCCCAGGATGTGCTGCTTATTTTCAACCGGATTGTTGTAGAAACAATCGGCCTGTACATACAGATTATGGTGTAATGTATGGTTATGCTATTTCATTGGATAATGAATATGGATATCAAGTGGATGCCAAACGATACCTTCAGGTAAGATTGACAATGGTGAAACAAGCATTTTTGAAACCATGAATGGATCAATGTGAGACCACCATTAGAAACCTGGAAGCACTGAAAGACGGCCGTTTCGTCCTAGTATGGGACTACTCATCAGTGGCAGTGCGCATCCACGACTCCTGCACCTCGCAGGATTCGAACCCAGGACATTCGGTATTGTGCGCGAACGCCTAACCATTGGACCACTGGGGAGTCCCATAGCAGGACGAAACGGCCGTCTTGCGGTGCTTCCAGGTTTCTAATGGTGGTCTAACACTGATCGATTCATGGTTTCAAAAATGTGTAACTTAACAATCTTTACAACCCCGTAATGCAAAGGTGAAACAAGCAAACGAATTATGAATCGATTATAGATTTTGCATTAGCCGATCAATTTGTAACGTGAAATTCCTTCTTAATATTGAGCCGATGATGTCCCGATTGGAAACTTTTAAGATTTGAACAACATTCTTGAATGTGATATTAAGTATTATGGCAAGTAGACTAAGTATAACGTGCTCAATAACTCAGATCACTTTTGTATTGATTTGGCCGGTGAATCGGAGCATAAATTCGATTGAAGAATGGACTGAGAAGCTTTAGCTTACAAATATTATTTATTACAATAATCCCTTACCCAATGTATCTGACTGCGCAACACTGAGCATGTTTATAAGAATGTGCTTGTAGTCTATGTTTTGTTGATTTAGTCATTTCATAACTTACTTAATTACTCCGGTTACCCCCAATAGAGAATAGGCCACTGACCAGTATTATCCAACCTACTTTGTCCTGGACATTCCGGTCCAGCTCTACCGAATCCTTGTCTGTTCTTTTCACGTGTGCTTCCGATTCTCAGCATAATGTGTTCTTTGGTCTTCCTCTTTTCCTTTGACATTTACGATTCCAAGTGAGGGCTTGTCTTGTGACGCAGTTGGGTACTTTCTTCAATTCTTATCCAATCCACATTTGGCGGACTTTATAAGACATGCATTTAAACCTAAATGTCTGGAGTCCTCGTTAGCTCTACAGTCCTGTATATATGCCTAGAATCTTTGGTAATCAACTCTTTAAAAGCTCTACGTTTTTTATTGATACTATTTCTGGGTATTATCAAGGATTTTTAAGCACAGTTGTGGGGTGAATACCACTAAAATCCAGAGCGGACGTTTCGTCTTGCCTGGGACTAGTCATGCGGATGTACTTGCTTCCGAATGTATTGATAGTATGGGTTACTAAAGCACTTTATTCAATATTAGACGGTAGAACGTGGTAGTCTGTTGGTTGTCCTTATAAAGATACTTAACCATATATCAGTCCTGTAGCATTTGACATTAAAATTTAGGTGGTAACTTTTTAAATATTAATTATTTTAGATGTTATATGTGAACAGGTTTACATTTTCTAGATTAATTTGAGAGTATTTCTCATGAGGTTTGAAATCTTTTACTAGTAATCACTCACATGGCATCACCAGCATAATCTTCAAGTGTCAAGGTAGGTTGGATAATGTTAGACTAGTTAGTTAGAACCAACTATTAACTCTAATGAGTAGAAAATCTGACTCAGTGATTACGTCAAAACTTACTTTAAACTAACCTAAAGTTGGAACGAGTTCGTTCTCCGTTGTAAACAGTAATCATATGCTCTCTAATGACTAGCTTTACAAACGGAATCCTCTAACGTCTCACAGTAAGACGCTTTTTGATGTATAGTCAACTATCTTAGAAGTGTTTACTTTCGATCGGATGACCGATCGAAAGAGACTTGAAAATCTTCAGTTAGATCCAATGTGAAGTAATTTATTTTATGTACATAAAGGTGATAGAACCTAAAGTAGAATAGAACAACTTCTTAGTATTCCATAAATCGTCTGATTTCTTCAATTTTACATCAGTTTTGGACAAAGCTCATTCTTAAACCATACAAAATCATCCTAAAAACACTTAGTTTAATATATGCAAATATATGCAATAGTAGGAAGTGAACATTTATGCACATATTTATATTGATGATAATCATTCAACATGAAAGATGACAATGGATACATGAAATAAACGAACAATTTTTCATAATAATTGCAAACTGGATGATAGTTTAGTTTTGGATGAAAGTAGACAGGAAATGGATATATATATATATATATGGATTTATCAGATGAAATCTGTCAATTATCAAATCATGAATTAATTAAAATCTATCTAATCTATATTCAGATGGTATAAACAATGTAATTGAAAATGTTACACGTCCAATCATTTATTTGAGTCTTTCATAGAATAACCGGTATGCAATAAGATAATATGTACGAGATAATTATTGTTGAAGAATAATACTTTGACATATTTTTATGTGATGTATTAGATTACAGAATGATAAAATAGTAGTAATTAGTTTAGATACTACTGATGATAAGTGAATTTATCCTTTTGGTATAAATAAGCTGAGACATCTGTTATATATCTATGCACCTAACCGTCATCAGATTTGACAGGTAATACAGGAGGAAAGTTGAAAGAAAGTTGAGGTCAGCTAAATTTAAAAAGTCATATTGGGAAGACTGAGGCAGGCGCGGAAGACTGTATTATGCAAATTTACACTCTGAGTCAATTAAAAACGAAAACATTACATTGAACACTCTATTTGCACACCATCTTTGAGTCCTGACTTCCAACCCTCCATCCTTTTTCCATTCCTGTTGTTGCTTCCTTTCCTTCCTGTTGGTACTATATTTACTCCTTTCTTTTGCTCCATTTGCTTTCCGTTTTCCTCTTCTGACTGTTAGACTTCTTCTTTCACGTCCCTTCTTATACTACTTATATCGTTCGTATAAGTAGCACACACCACAATATCATCCTACTAATTCATCGGCTGTTAGGCTGAAACATATTTTTAGATATAGACTACTTGATTAGGGTTTGTACGATAAGCATGATTAGTAATTGCAGACCCAGAATCAGTCAAAACGTCACCGAAACATTTAACTTTGATTTTACTCTAGATCTTGATATTTGGTATACCTTTGAACGTAGTTTTTCTTTCTATCTTCGCAAACTATATTCTCAGTAATTAGCCTTTCTCTGTTGTCGTCTTTCCTACATTGTTTTGATTCTTTTGATAGTAAATGAGGTTAGGGTACATTTGTGCGTTATTACTGATTAACGAATACACGTGTTTAGTTTACTCAATTCTGGGTCAGAGTATCCAGTATAAACTGAAGTTAAGCAAGTGTCATACTGTGGTTCGCGCTACTTATAAGTAGTATATGACGTGAGTGTAAACGTAATGTCTGGCAGCAGAAGATGGGGGAAGATCAAGAAAGGAAGAGTGGGAACACAATGAAATTTGTATGAAACGCATGAATAGTGGTGAAATGTCAGACAATGGATTGATGATTGATTGAAGATTTGCAAATTAACGATTTACGATATGGTTTTCCTATTTTACTGAGTAACTCTGTAATTTTCGTTAAATACAATCCGGTTGCCCCACCTGTGTTCTCCTTCACTACAATACTCTGTGTTACAATTCTCTCCTATTACAACCCAACTATTCCTAGAGCTCAGTATTCTCGGACACTAATCCACTTGACAAATCCTCAAATTAGAACACAATTAAACAGGGAGGAGATTATATGCCGAATCGCAAGGCTGAATGGAATTAAGAAGCCAAAGTAGAATAGGAACAACGTTGGTATCTTTACAGTTTTTGCATGAGAAGCTTCTGGAGTGTTCTCCAAGCATCGACTAGCGCTGATTGGATGAGAATTAACCAATCAGCATGCAGCTAACGAAATCATGTTTTAATCCGATCTATGTCCCGCTAACACTCCATTTAGTTTAATGATTCTAAACTTGTTTAATAAATTATAAAGCAAAAAATAATTTTCATCATATTACTGACCTGAGCCAAGAAATCGCTGAAAACCAGAGAATACTCCGTTTTGTGTTAGTTTGATAGTTATATAGAGTTACATCAAATCCACGACCGCATATGCAATCATATCAACGGGTTTCATAATTTTATATCATCTCCATTTATATGTTAAGTTTAAATTAATCAGCCTACTTTAGTTAGTTCATGATCAAATCACACAGTCTTCACTAACCACCTTAAATCAGTGATTACTGATATGATCCTGAATTGTCTTCTTATTGTATGCTTCGAATATTTAAGGAAATTGTTTTTTTTTTAAATCTGGTATATTTCTTGATATAAATTATAACACAATACCAAAAGTTTGCTTTTTTAACTATTGAATATTGAACATAGTTTATATTGAATGACATAAAATTACATTATTTTGGCTGGTTTTCTGAAAAATTAACCATGTTGATTATTAGAATGTTGTAATGAATGGGTACATATCTAATTCAGTTCATTGGAAGTTACGAGATTTACTTTAACTGGAAAAGGTTTTGTGAAGATTGATTTTAATTTGTAAATTGTATGCAGCATAGATTGATCTCAGCTGACTACTGTTTTTTTTATTTCAAGACTACTCAGAAGTGCGTATCTACGATCCTATTAAAGGTCGAGTGTAGGGCTTTCAGATTGGTAAACGCTAGAGCTCTACCTTACTGATTTATAACGGTAATCACTTTATAATACTGAACAAACATCTCTCAGCTCTTACATTCAATAAAACTGCACACAGTTTCTCATTTTTTAGTCAAGATCTTGAAAATCATTCCTGCTTATATTTGTTAAGGGGCGACAATTACATGATTATGAATAATCTAATACGACTACATTTTTTTCCAATAAATCAAATTCTTATTACTATGAATGGTGTTGTTGTTGTTGTTGAATTTTCTGAACTAAACAGTTTATTTATGAATCTTTTGTCATTTGCAACATTGATATTCTTACCTAAGTTGTATACTTTTCAAATTCTTCTATGGTTTTCAGTGAATATTAGAGCAGTTAACTTATTGATAAAGGAAGTGGCTCACTGGAAACTATCGTAAACCAGAACGACCAGTGAAAAGCAAGGAAGGCAAAGTAATCAGTAACACTGAAGAACAGCGAAATAGATGGGTAGAGCACTTTAAGGAACTAGTGAATCGACCAGCTCCACTGAACACACCCAACATCGAAGCAGCATCCACAGACCTCCCAATTAATATTGGCGCACCTACAATTGAGGAGATCAGTATGGCCAACAGACAAATCAAGAGTGGCAAATCAGCAGCACCAGACAACATTCCAGCAGAGGCAATGAAAGCAGATGTAGAAGCAACTGCGAAAATATTTCAAATCCTCTTCAAGAAGATTTGGGATGAGGAACAAGTACCATCAGATTGGAAAGAAGGATACCTCATCAAAATACCAAAGAAAGGCGATCTCAGCAAGTGTGAGAACTACAGAGGCATCACTCTTTTCTCAATACAAGGTAAAGTCTTCAACAAGGTATTGTTAAACAGGATGAAGCACTTCGTAGACACCCAACTTCGAGATCAACAGGCTGGATTTCGTAAGGATCGATCGTCTACTGACCAAATTGCTACATTACGGATCATTGTGGGACAATCAATTCAATGGAACTCACCACTCTACATCAACTTCATCGACTACGAGAAAGCATTCGATAGCGTGGATAGGAAAACACTGTGGAGGCTTCTTCGACACTACGGTGTGCCTTAGAAAATAGTTAACATCATATGGAATTCTTATGATGGATTCAACTGCAAAATCGTACTCGAAGGACAGCTAACAGACACTCGTTCGAGGTAAAGACCGGTGTCAGGCAACAGCAACAACTTACTGTGGGAGAGAACAAACCAGATTCCAGTGGAGGAGGAAATCAGGAAGAAGCGGTGGAAGTTGATATGACACACACTACGAAAAGCACCGAACTGAGTCACGAGACAAGCCCTCAGATGGAACCCTCAAGGTGGAAGGAAAAGAGGAAGGCCAAGGAACATATTACGCCGAGAAATAGAGAAAGATATGAAAGGAATGAACAAACGTTGGACAGAACTGGAAAGGGAAGCCCATGACAGAGTTGGTTGGAGAAAACTGGTTGGCGGCCTATTCTCCATTGGGTGTAACAGGCGAAAGTAATTAAGTTAGTAAGTGGCTACCTAGATGTAGTTTCTCAATGGATAAAACACAGATGTATGAAGAAACGTTGACTGAATTCTCACACTTCCTTGTGAACATCAACGCAATGTAAGTATTACGTATGTAAGTATTATACGAATGTAAGTATTACACGAGTTCAAAATGTCAACACAAGCTTACTATATTCCGCTGCTAGCTACAATCCAACTTTTATATACTGTCGATTTCATGATAATATTGAAGTGGCTGTCAAGGATTATCGGGTATGAAATGTAACCTCAGGGTCAACTGATTAGTCCATGCTCGAAACCACAAAATCCAAAGTTAGAACCTTAATCAAGTGAGTTCTGGGGATGTAATGTCTCCAACATGATCATAAACTCTTATTCTTAAATTGATTGTTTATTTTCCAAATTGCTTTTCTATTTCTCAATCAAGATTTGGAAAGGTATACCATATGCACATCCACCAACCCAAAAAAATAATTTACGATTTCGTCGACCTATTCCACCAATCCTATCAACTGAAAAATATGATGCAACTTATTTTCGTTCATCTTGTTCACAGCCAAGTTTAAGTACACAACAGTACAACAGTACATTTAATGAATGGTCAAAATATTCACATGAATGGTTTAAACGTTTCATATTTGAACAAATCGATACAGATGCTAATCAGAATTATAGTGAAGATTGTCTTTATTTAAATATTTATAATTTATATGAAACAGATACATTGATTACTACTACTACTAATATTGGTTCAAATCGAAATAATAATGAAAAACGTTATCCAATTATTGTATTTTTTCATGGTTTTGATCATTTGACTGGATCAGCAAATTATTTTCCTGGACATGCATTAGCTCAATTGGGATTAGTGGTAATCACGGTGAATTATCGATTAGGTCCATTTGGTTATTTAGCAACGAATAAACCATACGCACAAAACAATATCAATATAGATGATATTGATAATGATGAAGTACTTATGGGCAATTATGCATTATGGGATCAAATTAGAGCATTGGAATTTATTCATGAACATGCTGATAAATTTCTAGGTGATCGTAATCAAGTAAGTTTAATGTATCTAAAAAAAATGTTATATTATTCATCTTAATTCAATCAAAACACCCACCTATACGATTAAGATACTCGTGGAACCGAAGTTCATGAAACAAGGATTTTTCTACAGAACATTTTAATCGTTATGGAATATTTTTGAGATGGCGAAGAAGATTTGTAGCTCAGGTGGATGATTGTGGTGGTGGTGGTGTTTGTTTCTCTGAGCTGGGTGTTTTGGTTGTGGAGCTTTCATTGTTCTTCTACTGAACAACATCATTTGCACAAACTTCAGATAGCAGAAGTGAAGCATTCGAATTTCTTCACGTTTGACCTGTAGCTTGTTCTGCTAACCTCGATCTTGATTGGTTGATTTTGAAGATGATATTTGGTTTTTCTTCCTTTGTGAAAGGAAGAAAAAAACACTACACAGGACAAAGTGGACGGCCTCTTCAGCTTCGTTTACATGAACATTAATTAGCAGTCAAACGCCACGACAACGCTTCGCTTATATTAATACACACCGACAATTATGGACACACATTTGATTGGAACAGTGTGTAAATACTGGATAGGGGAAGGACAAAGAACACTAGGGAATTTTTAGAAGCTTGGCACTCAGGTCAATCAGCAATCAACAAACACATCGACATTGACCCGATTTATCAACCAATCAGGAAAATCATAGGTGACACTGGATCAAGAAACAGATCAAAAAGGGGATGCAGTCAAAACAAAGGTTCAAACAACGACAGGTTTAAGGTCCACAGCAACCAGCCAAGATCGAGGTTAGCAGAACAAGCTACAGGTCAAACGTGAAGAAATTCGAATGCTTCACTTCTGCTATCTGAAGTTTGTGCTGATGATGTTGTTCAGAAGAACAATGAAAGCTTCACAACCAAAACACCCAGCTCAGAGAAACCAACACCACCACCACAATGTTATGGAATATACTTAGATTGTTTACGAACCTCAGCTCCTGGGGTAATTACTGGGTCCGTATGTCTTTAAAGAGAAAGGTTCCCTGTATTAACAACATAAAATTTATTAACAACATTCAGTCATGTAAATGATGGCTGATAACAGTGTCTAATATGGACAGCAGTCTATCAACAATTAAAATATTGTGTCAAAACAAAGGTTCAATGAATTTAATAGACTGGTAATAACTATTAGAAGGAGTGAAAGACATCAATAATAATAAACACACTAAATGTTAGCGGTTTGTGTAAATACTTTAGGATAGTATAAGAGAAATCAACATTTATTCCGCCATACATCCACTATTTATTAGAAACGCAGCTGTCTACTGAATAATTAAAAGTAGTATAAAACAATTCACAAAAAGTAATTTTTTAAGATCGCGGAATAAAGACACAGAATGTCAATGAATTCAACAATTAAACTTAATAAAAGTAACTAAATAAATATTTGAAGGTCATTTAATATAGTTATATTTTTCAACACAATATGACCCTAATAAGGGAATGTCTGAGAACAATAGAAATCAATATAACATTGATCGATTCATGGATTCAAAATAAAACTTAACAATCTTCACAACCCCGTAATGCAAATTACCTGTGATCACTAGTGACTAGCTTCTTGAGGAATTCTCTCCGAGTTCTAGTGGGAAGACGTGACTAGTGAAGTTCAACCTGTTTGGGTGTAGACGGTAACTACCGAAGACTGTGTATGAGGTTGCGCAACTGCGTGAATTGATCAAGTTAGACATCAACACCATTAGATACCGGCCCAGTGATCCGATGGTTAGACGTTCGTGCACGATACTGAAGGCACTGGGTTCGAATCCTGCGGGGTGCGGGAGTCGGGGATGCGCACTGCTGAGGAGTTCCATACCAGGACGAAATGGCCGGCCAGTGCTTCCAGGTTTCTAATGGTGGTCTAACATTGATCGATTCACGGTTTCAAGATAAAACTTAACAGTCTTCACAACCCCTTAATGCAAATCAATGTACAGTTGTTCTAAGTTCGAGATCACCACTAAATTCAGACTAAGCAAACTACAAATTATGTAATATTTGTAAATGAGTACATTTAAGGTCAGCTCAGATTATTCAGTGAACTCCGTTCCTCAATCTGTCTCTTTTTGAGCAGCCAGTTGGACTATGAAATAGAAAGATCGCTTATCAGTATTAATTCTTGGCTATTACATGTCACACAGCATATTCTAGATAATTAAATGTATACTCTCTTTTATAGAAAAGTGTTTGTTTGTTTATATAAGTTGACATGTGTGTTTCTTGCGTCTTTTACCCAACAGATCACTGTGATTGGTCATGGTTCAGCTGCTGCTGATATCGCACTACATTTATTGTCAGAAAAATCAGGTCGTAGAAATCCACCTTTATTTCATCGTGTTATTCTTATGTCTGGATCTGATCAAATGCAAGGTGGTTTTGTTCAAAATATCAATGAATCAGAGGCTTATGCTAAACAGTTAGCTTATCAAGTAAGTATTAGACAGCTTAATAAGAATGAGGTAAACGTTATCGTGTTTAAGGGTTAGCAGTGTCCTATAAAAATGCACTGATAATTAAATATTTCACTGTTGTCTATATTGTGATCGACATTATGGTATAGTTTTTAGTTTTTAGATTATTAGAATTCACTATAATTTCTTTACATGTAACTCAAAAGTACATGAACTGATCCCATTACCATAATATTTGAAATATAAACTCAGTTATAAGAATGATCAATGAAGATGAGTCCACTGTTAGCCATGCTCTTATTTTATTCTATAGAAATAACTGTCCAGATACATCATCATACTGACTGAAGTATTTTCTGGAAATCTACTGAAGCCTAAAAGGATTGGTCGTTGTGTAGCAGTAATCAATGCAATGTCTGTCTAGCCCTCAAGATTACATTTGCAAACAGTTAAACTAAGATAACGCATGACCCTGTTTAATCATATCTGAACATTTTAAATATTTACATGAAGGAGAGAACTGTGACATTTAGAATCAATTATGATGTGACAACATAGATTTTCAATCAGATTTTAACTTGTGTTGAATACATAGTTAAGTCTATTAATGAGTTAATTTTACAATCTATTCGTTTGTGGACAAACTGCACAACTCTCTAACTAGATATCCTATATAACAGATAAATCAATAACTTGTCTATTTTGTGTCGTTTTTATTGACACAAAATTTTGTCTGATTTGATCTAAACTCTTTAATTCAAAATTACATTAGGTTGTTTGAAATTAAAAATAAGTAATGTGTAAGAGTGTTGCAGTTATTAATTTAGTGCTTGTTACAGGTTGACATCAGATAGAGTACTAGTGATAATTAGAGAGGATAAATAGACAACTGTTTCACTTTAACATAAGATTCCTAAGAAATCAGATTTAAAAACTCCGAAATGGATTAAGATCAAGATTTGTAGGTCACAACTTTACCGTCCATGCTTGTTGCAGTAAATATGAATGTTAGATCAACACATATAAGCGAACAACATTATTGTTTTCGATTAGATCGTCTTCAGGCTTTACTCTAATATACATGAATATTTATATGAAAATGTTAAACCAATCAAGGCAATTTGAGTGATAATCACAATGAAATGAACAAAGAGAAAAGTACAAGTGGATAGTAGGAAGATAGGTGAACCGATAATAGTAGGAAAATTTATAAAATATGATAACTAAAGTAGGTCAAAGGTGGATGAATAGAATTCAAATAATCATCAAAAAACATCAAAAACATTACGTAATAAGCAAATGTGTAAAAATAAAATAAAATTAAATTAAAAAATATTATGTTCATCGTTAGCTACGTCATATCCGGCCACGGAAGAGATAGGGGTGTCACGAATTTCTTCTGAACACATAAATTAGGGTTGAATGTACGTATTTCTATGGCTTCTGCAATGTGTAGGAGACGGGGTCGAACTCCGTTGGGAAATGATGGAGGTATAGGATAGATCACCCGAAAAGATCTAGATTTATCTACAATGTGACCACTGTCTACCAGGTGTGCTACTAATATCCTACTATCCACTTGTACTTTTCTCTTTGTTCATTTCATTGTGATTATCACTCAAATTGCCTTGATTGGTTTAACATTTTCATATAAATATTCATGTATATTAGAGTAAAGCCTGAAGACAATCTAATCGAAAACAATATTGTTCGCTTATATGTGTTGTTCTAATTTTCACAATGGGAATCTTTAATACTCTTAAATATGAATGTAATTTGGAGATGTTTACAGTTGGATGTCAACTAAACAGTCTCATAGTTGAGATCTCACTAAACACCCAGAGTTTTAATTTTAAAAAGAAGAGGAGCGTCATGGGTGAGAACTATTCACAATTATATAAATTAACGCTCTACTATCAAAGGAAATTTTACATTGGTTTTCGGGTGAACCAAGGAGTCTGCCCACGTGCTAGCATTTCGACGTGAACAGTTTAGTTCAATCCCGCGGTTCAACTACACAGGTACCTGATACCCTGGTGGACCGAAAGAATAGGAGCATCATGGGTGTGAACTACTAAAAAGTCAATTAAATTACTTACGCTAGGTACTTCTTTCAGGGTATAGGTCACCAACCAACCAACTCTGCCCTCGGTTGTCCTTTCCAGTTGTTTTCAAGTGCTGTTTATTCTTTAATGTCGACCCCCGATTCCCGACACCATGTGTAGATTCTAAGCTAGTCATAAGTAAGGTAGAGAGCTTAGCATAAATGTACTTCAGCTCAAAATGATATCTTATATTAGCATGACGAGATGAAATTAACAGTATATTAGCCCTTATAATCTGAAATATTGACTATTAAGATTATGCTTTGAAAAGATAATATGAAAAGGTATGTATGAACGAATGTCGGAATTCAAAATTGAACGAAAGATTAAAAAACAGCGAACACATTTATGACATAGTATTTCTGAAACATCTCACATCTAAAAGTCTCCTACCGCCAAACCATTGATCAAAGTAATAGCTAATTACTTATAATTACTTATGTTTTAAATTATAACTCCTAGAGTTAAGATGTAAGTTACAATTAAGTCGATTAGTTAAACAATCGAATAATCATGTTCAATTATTTATTTTGTTTAAGTTACTTGTAAAACAATATTTGAACATGTAATGTAAACGAAGTCATGAATGTTAACTTTGATGCAGAATTCATTAGTATTTTATTCAGAAGTAGTACACATCTGAATTAATTACTTCTTAAATTCGTAAATAAAGTTAAATGGATTTGCATCACGGGGTTGTGAAGATTGTTAAGTTACACATTTTTGAAACCATGAATGGATCAATGTGAGAGCACCATTAGAAACCTGGAAGCATTGGACGGCCGTTTCGTACTGGTATGGGACTCCTCAGTAGTGCGCATCCACGACTCATGCACCTAGCACGATTCGATCCCGGGACTTTCGGTTTTGTGTGCGAACGCCTAATCATCGCGGTTGCGCATTGCTGAGGAGTCCCATACCAAGACGAAACGGCCGTCCAGTGCTTCCAGGTTTCTAACGGTGGTCTAACATTGATTAAATGGATTTATTATGTATCACAAGTAAGAAATATTTTCTACATCAACTTATCTAAAATTAACCATAACATGAACTTCCATGAAAATGAAGACAAATAATTATCGCTCAAAAATAATAAGAGTCATGATTCTATAAATTAATGTGTTGTTGATGTAAACATAATCTTTTTTTCATTACTGAGTTATTGTTGGACCATTATTCGAAACCTGGAAACACTGGACGGCTGTTTCGTCCTGATATGGGACTCATCAGCAGTGCGTATCCATGACCCTCAACTGATTGATTCACGATTCCAATGTAAAATACCGATCTCCATAACTCTATAATGAAATAGCATAAAATGTGCCCGCTGGTGACTAGCTACTTGAGGAAAATCTCGGAGCTCTAGTGAGAAGCCGTGACCCGTGGAATTCAATCCTGTCGGGTGTAGGTAGTAACTACCTAAGAAAGTAGGTGAAGTTATGCAAAAACCTTAGACTGATCAAAGTTAGACATTAACACCGTTGAATGCCAGATCAGTAGTCCAGAAGTTAAGCGTTTTCACGTGAGATAGAAAGTCCTGGGTTAGATACCCGCAAAAGCAGGTCGTGAATGTGCATCGCTTCGAGAGTTCCACACTAGGATGAAACAGCCATTCAGTGATTCCAGGTTTATAACGGTTGTCTAATAATGATTGATTCCCAATTTCAATATACATAATCATTACTATATCAAGTGAAATCTATTCACTACTGTTGGGGATGTTAGATCCCCAAAACTCGCTTGCCTTATTTTGGATTTCACGTTTGTGAGCATGGTCTGATCAATTGACATTGACATTTCATTTCCCACCAGGGAAATATTCGGCTGTAATTAGCTGCTGTGTATTTTAGTGTGCTATTTTCGTAACTGTACAAAGGACGTTTCTATGATGTATAAATAAACGAGAGTTGTATGCTTGATTGTAATGTGATTGCTGGGTGTTTGTAGAATATACTTTCTACGCTTACAAAGCCTTCTTACCTTAATTTGGGATTCAAGGTAGCCTACATGGATGCCGGTAAAAGTCTCGTTCGCGTTTATCGACTAAGGTAAACTCGTAATAGCCTCAAGCATACTTAGTGACGAACACAATAACTACGACTAAATACCAAATACAAATAATTTTTCAATCGTTTTAAAAATGATTCAATGATAAAATCTATACAATTATTTTTATCGACTACCTTTATAAAACACAATTTAATATTTTCATAGGTTGGATGTGCTGTTTCATCGAAACGTTCAATGATCCATTGTTTACGATCTCGTACACCTACGGAATTATCAAATGCCGCGGCCAACACAAGAATTCACAGGCCCGATTGGTTAACAAAACCATGGGCACCAACATTAGATTATGATTTTTTAATGAATACACCAAAATACTTATGGAGTAATGGTCATTATGCTCATATACCAGTAAGTGTTTTCTTTTTAATTGATTTGTTGTAGTGTCAAAAAAAGTGTTCAATAACCAACTGTTTAAGATAAGACAAGATCATTTATTATATGATATGTAAAAGTTTGAGTATGAAAACTATGGAGCTAAGAATTTTATTTAGTATGAAGTACGATTTGATGCAACTTGTTAGAATGAACAACTATACATGAAAACAACTCAAGGATAGTTACAACAAAGCAGTAAGAGAATAGAACGAATCACTTTACTGAGAGTTTTGTTTCTGAAGAAAACAGTACGAGAAAAGTAAATATCATTGTAAGTGTAATTGTAGCACCTCAAATAGATTTTCTACTTTTATCACTGTTGAGCTTGTATGCTCATGTATACTTGGGCATTACTTACCATCTACGCACATATTCATCCTAATAATTTTATTGATTAATTGTTTAAATAATTCGATAAACAGTGTACTGTGGCGATTATAACAGTTGAAGTTTAGCATTAAGGCGAACTTTTACCCTTCTAACCACTGAGGTTTCGTCTAGTTATTTAAATTGTCAACTCCAGTCACCTCGTCATATTAGACAGAAATTAGTGGTATATACCTCACGACCTATGTAGTTGGAGGCTACTAGTCCCAACTTCCTATTAGAATTATCACTCGAAGTTACTTACTAGCGAATAATACATGATCATTATTGGTGTTGGTCAACTTTATATCACGCAATAGCATGAAAGTTTTATTCTAATAGTCAATTATGTGCTTATATAACTACAACTATAACTATATAACTTATATAACTCTATAACTAGAGAAATACAACAGTGTCGCAAGTGAAGTATTTATCCATTTATGGCATTGGATTATAGTCACATGATGTTTCAAATAGGCCTACAGTCAGAAATTTAGACTACTGGAATCTAATTCAGCGACCTAGAACTTAATAACTCGACAAGCAGACCCAAGGTTGATTTCCAATGAGGTCTCATTTATGAGAAATTAAAATTATTCACTACCTCCAGATTTTCAGTCGTCATCTAACCAAAGTCACTTTGTGATGTTGTTGGGGATGTTAGTGCCCCAGAACTCGCTCGATAAATTCCTTATTTTGGATTTCACGTTTGCGAGCATGGGCTGATCACTTGACCTTGAGATTTCATTTCTCACCAGGAAAATCGTTGGCTTTGATTAGCTGCTGTGTATTTTAGTGTGTGACTGTCCGAAGGACGTTTCTATGATGTATAAATAAACGAGAGTTGTATGCTTGATTGTATTGTGCTTGCTGGGCTTTTGTATAATATACTTTTTACGCTTATCAGGACTTCTGTTTCGCAGTTTGGGATTCAAGGTAGCCTATTTGGACGCTGGTAATTGTCTTGTTCGCGTTTATCGACTAAGGTGAACTCGTAATAGCTTCAAGCGTACCTAGTGACGAACTTAACAACTGTAGAACTTCAAATATGACATTTAATAAAACAAAGTAATTAATAAGAATTCTTGTCAATTAATTGTATGATTAAAATCGAACTAAAAAAGGTCGTACCCGCCAAACCATCATGCAAGTGAATCTGGGTTACGAATTTTAAACAGAGCGACACAAGTGTCCTGAATTGCACCGCTAATCAAAAATATTTGAGTATGCGCCAAAATATTTACAAATTTTTTCAAAGCTTATTGAAGTTAAAATGTATTGTTAACTTCCGCTTCAGAAAATTCTAATGGTATACTAATATGACTGTTGAATCTTGAAACAATCCAAAAATTGTCCATCCATTTATTTAGGCAATAAAGTTGAATTAATAAAAACCAAGCAATTCATATTGACGACTAAACTATATTGATATTTTCAATTAGAGTTAAGGAGAATAGTGTTTTTACAGATTTGAAATCATCAATCAACCATTGTTAGACCTCACTAGTGACTAGTTTCGTGAGGAAATTCTCGGAGTGCTAGTGAGAACACGTGACCAATGGAGTTCAGCCCTGTCGGGTGTATGCAGTAACTACCAATGGTAAATGGGCGAGGTCGCGCAAAATCCCTAGATCGATCAGAGTTAGACATTAACACCGTTGGATGCCGGCCCAGTGGTCCGATGGTTAATCGTTCGTGCACCAGACCGAAGGTCTTGGGTTCGAATCCTGGGAGGTTCAGGAGTCGCGTATGCGTACTGCTGGTGAGTCCCATACCAGAAAGAAATGACAGTCTAGTGCTTCCAAGGTTACAATAATGGTCTAACAATGATTGGATGATTATTTTAAATGTGTGTAAACAATGTTGACAAAATTTGAGGAACTTTAAATATGCCAGTGTAAACAAATTCTATTGCGGTTACAGATTGTTTAAGTTTGATTTATTTTCTTTAAGTATGTAGATACGCCCTTCTGATGACTAATACCATAGTAAGAAATCGAATTTTCGGATACTTCCATTCACTAATATGAAACATTTTAATCGATAAAAAGGTGTGTATTAAGAAGATTACAGTTTCATAGTTAATTTCATTAAACAATAGAACTGAGAAGAAATTTTCGTCCATTTGTGATGGGTTGAATTTTAGTACAATATCCATACATTCATATGTTGGTCTACTAAATGATGATTTAAATTAGATGGTCGGAGACACTCAGAAGGAAACCCTGCTTGATCTAATTTCATGCTATTTTACACTAATCAATAAAGTAAACGTACAATCTCAAGGGGATTCATGCTTCCAACAGCATCATAACCTCGATCGCCCAAGTTCACAGTCTGGAATGTTACCCACTAAGGTATTCCGAGTGTGAAGAACCTCTTGTTGGAATGAAATATTTTATATTTGGTAATCAGTGCTATGTATGTCCTGATGTTTACACAAAGGGCTAGATAAGCATGTAATTTGTTACTTTTCATTGAGCAATCAATCAAATAGTCTTATGTCTCACAGTAACAATACTGTTTTGAATAAAATTGTCAGACAATGTTTTCAGAATAAAAGCTTACATTCACCAACACATTTTAATGTATCTTTTATTTTTAGCTTATTGGTGGCCTGGTTGTAGATGATGGTGTTTTCCATGCATTAGCGTCAATTTACCAGTTGAATGTTCCATTGCCATGGAATTTGATAAATAAGACACACGATAACTCTTTGGACGACCTTGAATTATTGAATCCGAATATTGATTTTTCTGGTTTGTCCGCTGAGTTGATGCGTTCAGGTTTCATGGAAATGGCGAAAAATGATTTTGCACTAGTAAGTTAATTAGTTTCAACCATTTAAGAAAACCGTAATTATTCCACAATTAGTAAAACAATCAAACGTTTCAATTATAATAAGTTAACTATTCATTTGGAAATCAGTAGTCTAAAAGTATAAATAGAAATATTGAATTGATGAGAACCACAAATTGTGAAAAACTTGGGCATGAGTGTTGTAATTAAATTTGAGAGCTCTTGTATTAAATTCATGAAGAAAATTGAATCTGTTTAGAAAAATATGATATAAGCTTAATAATTTAATCTATTAATCATACTTAAAACTTTTTTTGAGGTGTATAGGAGATACAAGGATGATATTCTAAGCAAATGTGATAAAGAGTTCGAGGCTACTCAGTTAATAGGTAAGCTCAATGGGGTAGAGAGTGGTGATGTAATTACCTACAAGGGAGAAAGTAAAGACTGAATTCCCTTTCTAGATGTACATGTGAGTCCAAACATTGAAGAAACTATGAAGCAGTCAGTTTATAGGCAGCCAACCTGCACTGGGCAGCAACCACACTTCGAAAGTTTAGGCTTGGTAAAGTATCTCTTCAACAGTAATCAAATAATGCGCAATACAGAAGCGTCTGAAACTGTTGAATGAAACAGTGATATCAAATGGTTACTCACCAAAGTTTATAAATAGGTGTGAAGAAATGGGCTTAAATCTCTGTCATTTAGAGGACTATTTCGTGTTGACGAATGTCAACTAGCGTAAACTTAAGTCATTCAGGATTTGCTGTCCATCACATGGATCGGTATTTCAATCTACTTTATTTCATCACACCAATTAGAAAAAAATATGAAAAAGATTGTCATCATTTTAATTGAATTTCCCAACACTGTTAGTTCTCCCTCCAATAATTTTTCTTCAACAAATCAAATTGCTTGTTTATACTACACACACAGTGTTCTCAATAATGTTCCTGTCATTTAAACATCTCATTTCATTTATTTAATGAAGAGTTAGGATATAAGTACATTACTTACTTACTTACGCCTGTTACCACCAATGCAGCTTAGGCCGCCCACCAGTTTCCTCCAACCAACTCTGTCCTGGGCTTCCATTTCCACTTCTGTCCAATGTTTGTTCATTCCTCTCATATCTTTCTCTATTTCTCAGCGTAATGTGTTCCTTGGCCTTACACTTTTCCTTTTGCCTTGAGGGTCCCATGTAAGGGCTTGTCTCGTGACGCAGTTAGGTGCTTTTCGTATTGTGTGTCCTATCCACTTCCATCGCTTCTTCCTGATTTCCTTCTCCACTGGAATCTGGTTTGTTCTCTCCCATAGTTTGTTGTTGCTGATGGTGTCTGGCCAACGAATCCGAAGTATTTTGCGTAAACAACTGTTAATAAACACTTGTATCTTCCGGATGATGGCTTCGGTAGTTCTCCAAGTTTGATAAATGTATATTGGTTGATTATAGTGAAGCCGCACTTTTCTCCTTTTGATCGTTTCTAATTATTTGATTGGAATAAAAAAGTACTATATTTACAATGATCAAATATATTCGTTTTTACAAAGTACCAATATAATGTTAGACGTTTCGGGAAAACTAGTGATGGTACGTACATATTACTCTAGTTGTCAATTAGGTAAGAGAGAGAGAGAGAGAGTAAGAACAAAGATTTAAGCAGCATAACAGGAGTTTTTTTTTATCTAATTTTGTTCGGTCCTAGTTAACTACTTCTTCAAATACACCATGAATGAGTTCATATCATTATCAGTAAGGATTTAAATTATCCTGTTGTGGATATTCAGGATTACTATTGATCATTCTCTATTGGCATATATGCATTCTGAATAGATTACTTCTAAATTTTAATGTCACAAGTTTGATTATATTTAGTTAGCAGTTTCACCCTATCTAGTCCTAGTTAGCACTCGTCAGTTGAACGTATCTTGATTACCGTGTGTTGACGTTCACACTGAAACTCAATCTAAACACATTTCACTTCTGTTAGCGGTACATAGATTGGATTATAGCATGATTTGCGTTGCCGTAGGCTGATTGGCTAATTCTCATCCAATCAGTGCTAGCTGACACTTGGAGAACTTTCTAGAAGCTTCTCATGTAAAGACTATAAAGATACTAACGTTAGTCCTATTCTACTTCGGCATCTTACTTCCATTCAAATTTGGGAATTTGTCGAGTGGATTGGTGTCCGAGAATACTAAGCATTAGGAATAGCTGGGTTCTATTAAGAGAGAATTATAACAACTTCAAATGTCAATGTCCTATATGCTTATAACTACAGAGTTCAAATAGCCATTAGTAAGCATTTGTATCTTTACATTGTTGAAAAATGAAGGTCATGAGAGGAAACTACAAGAAATTTTCAAACGAACATGGAATAATTATCAAGTATTTTTTGATCTTCAGTGTTGGTAATGAGGTCATCCTTGAAACTAATCTCTATAAAATGGATCGTAGGGATTATTGAATTCCACTGATTTACATCACAGACAGAATCCTGTTAGATAATTGTTGGAAACCAGCAAGCACATGATAACCGTTTTTTCATATATAGGACTCCTCAACAGCGTGAATCCACGATGTCACTGGCAATCAAACCCGGATCCTCTTCGAATGTGCTTAAACTTCAGATTACTAAATTGATATCTAGTGATCAATATTTCTAATACTGTGGTGTGAGCTACTTATAAGTAGTATATGACGTGAGTGTCAACGTAATGTCTGGCAGCAGAAGATGGGGGAAGATCAAGAAAGGAAGAGCGGGAACACAATGGGATTTGTATGAAACGCATGAATAGTGACAATCGATTGATGTTTTGCAATAGGAACAGTCCAGTTCCATATGATGAACTGATATTTTGCAAATTAACGATTTACGATATGGTTTTCCTATTTTACTGAGTAACTCTGTAATTTTCGTTAAATACAATCTGGTCGCCCCACCTGTGCTTCCGTTCACTACAGTACAAATTAACAAGACCTTAGGGATTTAGGATCGATTCATGGTGATGTCTTATGGCTTATTTTCTCGGACGAAACTGCTATCCAGTGGTTGCTGATTTTAAATAGTCATATGACTCATTGCATTACATAGTGTACACTACATTATTCATTTCAAAACAATTTGTTTTAACTAACTAACTAAACTATATAACAGCATCTACATTCTAGCTAATTAGTAGAAAAGTCATTTAACGTCTTCATTATAACAGAATACAAAAAATGATAAATGATTGTTAAGCATATTTTTAGGCGTTTACATGTTGTATATGATGAGATTATTTCTTTTAGAAACCAATCAACAACCATTTATTTGAAATAACTATGTGATAATGTGACTGTTCAATAATCAATCATTGTTTAACAATCACATAATTCACTAACACAATTTCATTGGTCAATATTATACGATACATAGCCCGAGTAATCAAAATAGTCTTGTAATGAAGTAACTATTAGTAGTTGTACTGATGAAACTGTAATCTTCAAGGCTTATTTGAACGCTTAAAAAATGGCTTGTGTAGTATACAGGTGTACACTTTATTGATCGCGCACATGAATGATCAAAAAAGTGTATTGAGATATCGCAATGATTGTAGATTTTATTCGTGATAAACGTTTTTTTTTGTTGAGAGATATAAACAATGAAAGATTGTGAATGGGTAAGATAAAATACATGAAAAGGCCATCTGTTTTGAACCTTATAATTCTTCACTAAATTATATCTCTATCAACATATATATATCGATACAATTTTATAGATTTCATATAACTTGATCCCTTCAAAACAATTGAAATAAAACAGAATCAATGGAATTCTTTGTATTTCAAGGCTTCTCATCTCAGTTTGTAAACAGACGAAATTCATATCAGTAATTGTTATTATTTGTTAAAAATGTTTTTATCACATACTGAAATCAATAAAGTTTTAGTTCGAATCAATGTATGATGAAACAAGAAGAGAAAACAATATATTTGTTTTACACATTTGAAATCATCAATCAATCATTGTTAGACCACCATTGAGAAACCTTGAAGCATTGGACGGTCGTTTCGTCCTGGTATGGGACTCATCATCATCAGCGGAATGGAGGTTAGGCGTTCGCAAGCAAGACCGAAGGTCCTGGGTTCGAATCCTGCGAGGTGCAGGAGTAGTGCATGTGCACTGCTGATGAGTCAGATACCAGGATGAAACGGCCGTTCAGTGCTTTCAGGTTTCTAATGATGGTCTAACATTGGTCGATTCATGATTTGTTTATATACATAACTAAAGGACGACAGATATCGGTCACTACTCGGATGTCAATCAGTTATAAATGTCTTAGTTTAAAAATAGGTCGGTAGTGATTCAAATGACTGACTAGTAACATCCCAGACCGTAATGTTAGGTGACATTGGATGGTACCTAATAGGGAGCATCAATCTACTCAATTTTACAGGTACATCTTACTAAAATATGCTAACTAGCACAAAATCCAAATTCAGAGTATCCTGTCGACTATTTTCAACCATCTAATGTTTTTTGTGCACAGTTAATAGTGAAAATACTTACAAACTAACTAAAGAATACGCTAAATACCAGTTCTCTTCTCTTAAAGCATTAAGTATCTTTTAACAAAATTAGTTGGATTTAAAACAAACTGTTAAGCTCGTTACTTGATATGCTTGAAAGTATTACGAGGTCACTTTAGTCGATAATCGAGAACAAGACAATGAACCAGCCACCAGGTAGGCTACTCTGATCCGTTGCTTCAAATTAACTGATGAAAAAGTCTTGATATAGCATAGAAAGTGTATTCTACACACACCCAGCAAACACAATGCAATCAAGCACACAAATCGCGTTTATTTATACATCATAGAAACGTCCTTGGGCGAGTCACAAAAATAGCACACTAAAATAACACATCAACCAATCACAGTCAAAGATTCTCCTGGTAAGAAATGTGATCTCAAGATCAACTGATCAGCCCATCAATAAAATCCAAAATGAAGGCCTTTACCAAGTGAGTTCTAGTTCTAGTTCTAACATCCCCAACACAAACAAAGTCTGATTACAAACTTTAACAACCTCATGGCTAATATAAACTTATCATATACATTTAAGTTTCAGTATCATGATTGACATCATCCAATATTGAGAAATGAATATTAGTTTCACTAAACAATTTTGTACATTGAATAACTCATGTTATTATCATTATTATTATATTTTATTTCTAATGTCCCATTTAACATAGGATCCAATCGGTATGACCAATTCATTACTTTTTCAATATACCTATTGGCCAAATAGAGAAAATACATTTTCACAATGGGAAATGTATCGTTCAGCTTGGACAGATCGATTAATTGGTTGTGGTCTAGTGCAAACATTACAATATCATTCGAATCCGAAATATGCTAAAACGCGATTCGAACCAATTACCAAACAATATTTACCAATGAATCAAACACAAATGTATATATTTGGTTATGCATCAAAAAATGATTTATGGAGTAAACTGATTGGTGTTTATTCTGGTTCCGAATTACAATATTTATTTGGATTACCTTTATTACAATTATATAAATCAATAGAAGAAATAAATGAAGAATGGCCAATGAATTTAGGCCTTAAACCGCCACGATATCAATATACTGAGTTGGATGTGAAAATGAGCGGGTATATGTTATCGTTTATAACGAATTTTGCAAAAACTTCCAATGCTACCCCAGAACCAATACGTAATTTAACATGGGATACTTATCGTATCGAGAATAACACATATTTATGGTTAAATCTAACTGATAATGTCACTTTGTCAGAAAGTCATCGGCCAGATTTAGAAATCAAAGGTATCGGTGCTGGTTTCGATTTAAGACAAAATTATAAAGTCGATAAATGTTCTTATTGGAATCAATTTTATCGTAAACAACTTCATTGGTTGCCGAGATTCGCATTGCCAACAGCGGCACCGATTGATATGGAAGATTATCGTTTAACTGCATTTATTCTAGCTGGATGTTTATTTATTCTGTTGATTATTTTGATATTATTATGCATTGTATATTGTAGAAGAAGAAAATTGTTAGTTTCTTAAATTGATTATTTCATTGGTGTTTTTTTTTTTTTAACTTAGTTGCTGTTATGCTCGTCACCAATTTACTTTTACTTACTTACTTACTTACGCCTGTTACCACCAATGGAGCATAGGCCACCACCGACCAGTTTTCTCCAACCAACTCTGTCCTGGGCTTCCGTCTCCAGTTCTGTCCAATGTTTGTTCATTCCTCTCATATCTTTCTCTATTTCTCGGCGTAATGTGTTCCTTGGCCTTCCTCTTTTCCTTTTTGTCTTGATGGTTCCATGTGAGGACTTGTCTCATGACGCAGTTAGGTGCTTTTCGTAGTATGTGTCCTATCCTCGTCACCAATTGATTTGCTTGAAACTATTACGAGTTCACGTTAGTCGGGAAACGACAGCGAAGACAAATGATCCAGTGACACGATAGGCTACTCTCTAATCTGAGCGTCATAAGGCCCCATTAAGTAGAGGAAAAAGTCTTGATGATAAGACGTAGAAAGTTCATTCTACGAGCACCCAGAAAATGGAGGTTAACAAGCACACAAATCGAGATAGAAACGTCCTTGAGAGAGCCACAAAAATAGCGCACTAAATTAACTCATCAACCAACAATGATAGCCAAGGAGTCTCCGGTTGGGAAATGTAATCTTAGCGTCAACTGATCAGCCCATGTGCGAAAGCATAAAATTCAAAATTAGGATCTTAATCAAGTGAATTCTGAGGATCTAACGCCCCCAACAGTTGCTTTTTTGATCATAGACTTCGATGTGATAGTGAAGAAGAATGGAGTTTAGAAGTATGATTTCAGGGAAATTACGTCCGCTAATCTAATCAACTTATTCATGAAGCAGCTTTGATTCTTTCTTCTAGGTACGATTATTAGAATAAACTGGTATCAGTAACATGTGAAAAAATTTGCCTTGATTTTTATTAGTTGTTGTTGACTACCCCAAGATGATAACAGAAATTGATAAGTTGTTAGTCATTTGATGAGGAATTCTCTTTGATCTCTTCTATGAGAAGTTTTTTCTGATGATGTTGCTTTAAGATAATAATAAAACAACGTCACGACTAAACCGCCTAGATTACAGAATGTAATTCCAAAAGTATTGTGAGAGATTGCTTTCACAAAGAATTTATGTAAGACAGAGACATGTTTAACAACCTAGAGTGAAATCCATTTTCTTCCAGGATTGGAAAACACCACTAGCTAAGGTGGAAGCTTTCACGTTGTTAACATTAGAGATTCTCATTGAAATGATTAACAGATCATTGTCAGGCCAACATTAGACACTTGGAAGCACTGAACGGCCATTCTGTCCTAGTATGAGATTCATCAACTGTCAGCTGACTAGAATCGGACCTAGGACCTTCGGTCTCATGCAGTAAAGCTTAATCTCAAGACCGCTAGGCCGACATTCAACGGTGCTAATGTCTAACTTTAATCAATCCTGGATATTGTGCAACCACACCCATTGTCTTCGGTAGTTACTGCCTACATCTGACAGGAATAGGCTCCATTAGTCAGGGCTTCGCACTAGAAGTCCGAGAATACATCAAGCTGATGGAACTCAAATGTGATAAAACATGAGACCTGGAGTCTACTGATAATGTCTAGAAGTATTACTTACTCAAACTGTCTAATAATTACGCAAATAGAGATTATATAAACTTCAGTTTGTATGATTTGAGGTGAACTAATGCTTTGTAACAAGAAGCATATTTGTCAAGGCTTAACTTTAATTTTTCGAAACATTCCTGAAATGCACAAAAGTCACAGTCATCAGTTCTTCCGTCGTTTTGTGCAATTTTATCTATCCTAAATACTTTACTGAAATCCTGTTCATAAACAGCGTTGGGGACGTTAGATCCCCAGGACTCACTTAAAAAAGGTCCTAATTTCGGATTTTATGTTTCAGCGCATAGGCTGATCGGTTGACTTTGAGATTATATTTCCCACCCCGAAAATCTTTGACTGATGTATTATTTCAGTACGCTATTTTTGTGGCTCTTCCAAGGATGTTTCTAACATTTTTAAGTAAACTCGATTTGTGTGCTCTGGAATCCCGTATTTTGTGGGTGCTTGTAGAATACACTTACTACGTCTTATCAAGACTTCTTGATCTATTTAAATGGGCCGGGTACAAACGGATTGGAATAGCCTATCATGTCACTGCATCATTTGTCTTCGCTCTTGTTTACCGACAAAGGTAAACTTGTAGTGCCTCCGCATATATTCCAGTTTGCTTACATCTAACTTGGTTAAGCCATTTCGATTAATTTATTTAACCAAGCCATTTGTATGGCGACAATTTATATGTACCGTTCGTTCTTATTATTGTCTGGTTTGTATGAGCTCACATGACATGTCCCACTTGTCAGTTGATCTTGTCAATCATTCGTCGCTTTTATTCATGTGTGTGCATACCTATTTCTCTTGTCATATGTCTGTCTTATTTTTGTATGACTATAAATTCTTAGTCATGCTTTGTCACAGTGAGTTGGCTCTTAGCCTTCTTCCAATTCGCTTCGCCCATTCGTTCGCATTGTAACCCATGGAGTTGGCTCTTTGCCTTCTCCAACGCGCTTCGCCTATGCATTCGCTTCCTTCGTTTTATTCACTGTTTCTCCGCTTTGCTTTGTGGTGTGTCCTGAATAAACGTATTCATCAATACGAGTTCATGTAAATAAATCGAGCTTAAGAACACGCAGTAAACAGACACACCAAAAACTCGTAATAGTTTCAAGCATATCAAACAGTTATTCTTAAGTTCACTTTATCATCAGCCGTTTGACTAATTAATAGATCATCAGAAATTGTAAGATACTATGCTCTTTTGATACATTCATCAATACAAAAGTTGGTTGGTTGCATAGAACTTGCACAAAATCTTAGAAACTTGGCCAATGCACTAATTGGACAAAGGATAGTGAAAAATATTTTACCAAACAACTATTAATTTATGTCTACCAACCATAAAAATTTACTCATAGTTCAATATTTTGTTTCAAAATTACATTTTCGCCAAAGAAATCAATTCATAAAGTTTTTTATATACAAACATTATTGATAATCTAGTTACATGTTTGAAAAATCATTCAACTGTAAAGAATGAAAATATTGACATACTCAGTTAATTATTGATTCATTCGACTAGTAATCTGATTACTGTTTTTATCTAATGTACGTCTGACGAATAAAATAGCCATGTTCACATATTTTCTTCTGTATGAGTAGACATACCGTGGAATCAGTACAATCAGTGAACGGACATTAAAGTTTGAAAATATTGAAAATGAAATAGAATTGGACACTAGTTTAAACTATTGTTAGGAACTTTCTCATAGTCTACATATACTGCATCATGTAGGATGAAATTTTACAATTTTCAGATATTGTATTACGGGGTGTAAGAAGGATTGGATTTTGACCAATTTGGTTTCGAGTGCTGTTATGGGTATGAGGGCGGTTGTCAATTCCCGGCTGCCCACACCGTGGAAGGTTGTTTCTTGAGGAACCTGAAAAGGAAGGTAGATTAGTGTTGGTCTTAGAGACCTGGTTGCGTGACTGCAGAGCCCAGGGGACAACTACTTGAGGCCGGTCACGCACGGCCTTTTTATGAAAAGTTTTTTGAGAATGAGCTCCTCTCTTGAAAGCCCTTAGTGGACACCCATACCGCCGAAGACGGAAATCCGTGAGGTAGGGTGAGGTGTGACATTTTTAGGACCGACCTTTTCTAACCCTTCCTTCTTTGTGAGAAGGCAGCATCGCTGTAGATGCTGGTTGTCCGAGGGAAACACCTTACTGCCGTGATACCCCTCTGCAGTCACCAGTACGACTTCACCCTCAGACCTTGTGTAGCTGCTTTTAGTCTCATCGTTCTCCAATCGACCTGCCTGGCCTGGTAGAACCTTCAGGAACATATGTTCCAGCCAGTATAGCTCGGTCGGGTCAGTTATTGTGGGGAATAAGGTGTTCTTGAATCACCGGATCAGAGTCGAATGGCTGATGTTTTTCGATAAAAGTCAAGTTTTAATATACAATATGTTTTATCCTATGAACTAAACGAATAATACCAACAGTTGTGACTTCAAGATACTGAGTAGGATTACTAATTTAAAACTATGAGGAATGCAAAATAAGAAAAGAACATGCATCCAGTACTCTTTGATTTTCTATCTGACTGATATCAACTAGGGAAGAAACTGAATCCATAGATCTTTTATTTTAGTAATGAGAGATCGTTTAGGCGAAGCGTTTAGAGTCTTAGCATTTTCAGTAGTCAGTATAACTTGATTTTAAATTATTGGAAAAACGTTATTGAAGTAGAAAGAAAAAAACAGAATTTTGGTAGACACGCTGAATTCAATAGACTGAAGGTTATCGATCTGTATATATTAACATTTTGAAAGAAGTAGATTATCGCTGACTTTTTGATTTTGTTACTGATTTGTGTCTTTAGATTCTTTTCGATCACTTTTCAGTGTACTTGTTCCTTAAACATAGTGTCTCTAATGCTAAATTTTTATACAATATTAATTAAATGTCTGAAGATCAACCTATTAGAAGCATTTGTTCGGTTAAATATACGCTTCATCTTGGAATATACTGTATACAAATTTTCAGAATACTACTTAATGATACGAGGTGCTCCTAGGTTGTGCATATACTGATCGCTGATGTTTTACAGATAACGGGAGTCAAATTTTGATTACATATATAACAGTGACGATAATGATTTTATTTTATTCCTTGTTACGGCTAATTTTATGAACTCATATAGGTTTAAATTGTGGGTTTTGTGAAGATTGTAAAATAACCATAGTTTCGATCAATAACTACTCGTAGATAGACTATAGTGTGTATACTTTTATGTCAAGCCCATAGGGCTTGGTCTTTCGACTGTTTAATCAATCTATTCTTTCTGAGTTATTCACTCGTCTTTAAACTTTGTCTATTATTTGCTTATAACCTTGTGTATGCTTAACTTTACTTACGACATGTCCAGCCTACACTCAGCTATTCCTTATGGCGCTAAGTTGACTAACACACCTTGTCCACTTCACTTC